CATTGTATTTTCCCCAGAACACACAATGCAGACCTGATGGTTCTACCCTACTTTTTCTGTAAACTTGGCATAACCGTGAAAGCAAAACCCACAAGCACCATCACCTCAAAATTACTTTAGAAGTACAATAAAATGGTAGCTCAATTGTATGAGGAATTTTATACTATTCATCCCTACTTTTGGGGCACAATTTCTTATTCTGCTCAAAGAATTACAAAGGATGCGGTGGGTTGACGCGGGCTGGATGCCAGGTGCCCACCAAAGCCACTCTATCACTTCCCCTCCTCAACTGGACATGATAGAGGAAAATATAACAAGAGGCTTGTGGGCTGAGATATGGACAGGGAGAGATCATTCACCAGTTCCAGTCACAGGCAAAACAGACACAACTTGGGAAAATTAGTTTAACTTATTGCCAATTAAATTAGGGTAGTATAACAAGAAAATAAAAACTAAATCTCAACACACCTTCCCCCCCACCCCTCCCTTCTTCCCAGGCTTAACTTCACTGCTAGTTTTCTCTACCTCCTCCTCCTGAGTGGCACAGGGGGACAGGGAATGGGGATTGGGGTCAGTTCATCACACGCTGTCTCTGCTGCTCCTTCCTCCTCAGGCAAGAACTCCTCACACTCTGTCCCTACTCCAGCCTGGGGTCCCTCCCACAGCAGACAGTCCTCCATGAACCACCCCAACAAGAGTCCTTCCCACAGGCTGGTTCTTCACAAACTGCTCCAGCATGGGCCCCTCCCTCCCACAGGGTACAGTCCCTCAGGAGCAGACAGCTCCAGCATGGGTCCCTCCCTCCCACAGGGTGCAGTCCACAGGGAGGCCTGCTCCAGCACAGGCCTCCCATAGGGTCACAGCCTCCTTCAGGCACCCCCCTGCTCTGGCATGGGGTCCTCTCCCTCAGCTGCAGGTGGGGATCTGCTCCCCCATGGGCCTCCCTGGGCTGCAGGGGCACAGCCTGCCCCACCATGGGCTGCAGGGGAATCTCTGCTACGGTGCCTGGAGCACCTCCTGCCCTCCTGCTGCGCTGGCCTGGGTGTCTGCAGGGCTGCTCCACTCAGAGTTTCACTCCTCTCTCTGGCTGCAATTGTGCAGGTTTGGGTTGCCCCCCGCCTTTTCAAACATGTTATCCCAGAGGTGCTACCACCATCATCAATGGGCTCAGCCTGGGCCAACAGTGGGTTCATCTTGGAGCTGGCTACATTGGCTCCATCAGACACAGGGGAAGCTTCTGGCTGCTTCTCACAGAAGCCACCCCGTAGCCCCCCCACTACCAAAACCTTGCCATGCAAACCCAATACAAAGGAGCATACTGTCCCCTCTGCGTAGGCTTTGCGTAGGTTTCTCATACTTCAAAGCTTGCAATGATACTGGTTAATTGCCAGATTTCAGCCACCTCTCTAACCTCTCCCTTTTAGTGGGTGTGAAAGGGTTTACTTGTAGTATATATTGCCACTGAATTTTATCTTGTTCTCCTGGATTCTCAGCAGCAATTCCCAAGTTAGAGGCTTCCCCAGAAAGCACGTCAAAGGATTCCCACCCACACACTGAATATCTAATAGGCCCTGACCCATTTTCTCCTTATTAAAGCAGCACTACATACTTTAAAAAAAATAAAAATAATAAACAGAGGCTAAATGAATGCAGGAATTGCAGTTGGAACTCTACCCTCCTCAGATTTTAGTTCTGACAAAAATCGCTACCAAGAAGCAAAGAGACATTTAAAATACAAACATAAAACACATTTTTCCTCAATGTTCTCATTCAGTGACTTATTACTCCAGCTGTCTTTCAGCTAAGTACAAGGAGGACTTCATTTATTAGTTCTGAATATAGGAAAAAATGCCCTAATTTAGCTATACTTCTCTTCCAACCATATCTTTGGGCAAATTTCTGCAACTTGAGCTTTAATAATCCTGTAACTCAGTGACTTAAGGATGCTTAAAAAATGAAGCCTCACATTAAGTAACAGTTGAAACTATGTAGTTTTACTAAGATTATTAACATTACCTAACCAGAATAAGCAATAGTGATTAACACTGAATATTTAGAATTGAAGTTTTTTATGGTAGGATGAACTACTGCAAATACTACTGCAAGAGTCAAGAGCCGTCATGTATTCGATATGCTGGAACTTATTAACATCCCCAATTAAACAGGTACAATATTCTGTTTTAAGTAACAGAAAACAATTCATGATTTGACTTTCAATTTTTTCAAACTTTCAATTTGCCCATTGTATTTACAATCTCAGACATAGCGGGAATCAGATTTTACTGGTTACGGCTGCACAACAGCCTTTCCCACCCTCCCTGTGCCACCACCACCAAAGGAAGTGAAGCGCTTCAGCAAGTCAGATAACCTCTCCCAAAGAGAGAGGTGAAAACCAAACAGAAGGGGTGAAAAACCCCTAGAACAGAAAATCAATGAAGAAGTTTAACTGACTGAAGAACTGCAGCACGGAAGTATACATCTAGGGCTGCTGTTCTTACAGAAAGGACAGCCCTACATTTCTCTCAGCTTGCAACTGCATGCTGCCATTTGCCATTGACAATTATTTCTGTGGCTCCCTGGTGAGCCAGGGAACTATTTTACCTGACAGTAGACCTGACCAGATAAAGATGTCAACTGGATGAATTCCCTGAGCTTTTGATACCAACACAAATTTGAATTAAACTGGTAAAATGCTAAGAGATTTATTTCTAGCACAGTGCAGACAATGGGCAATAAAACCCCATAATATTAGATCAACCATCTTTTAATGAATAGTGAAAGGAAAAACTCCATTTATGAAAGTTCCATATCTCATAACATATGTAAACCCTTTGCACTTGTAACTGATTTGTAAGCAAACCCTAGTTTTGTCTGTTATTTATAAATTAGATACTTATATTCCTCTGTCCCCTTTTAATTTAAAAATGCTTTATGCAACTGAATTCCCAGGGAAAGCAGATTAATAATGAGCACATATATCATATATGAACATTCTTTTACCTTAATTTTCAACATAAACTATTATGAAAAAAGATCTATTTACCTTCTGAAAAAGGACCCACCTGTTCTTTGCAATAGGAAACACAGAAGATGAGGGAAAACACCAAAACAATTAATAATAATGCTCTGTATCTTACAATATATATACACAAGTGGCATGTGGTCATCTTTCAATAATTAAGACTTTTCTCTAACAACACTATCTTATTCTAATGATAACTTGCATCTGTCAAGGTGGACAACACTATGTCTGTAATCCAAGTAACCAAGTTGATAGGATTTTATGAACAAAAATAGGAACTAGGAGACCTCCTTTGTTTATAAAGCCATAGTAAGTTATATCAACTGTAAGGCTATATTGATTAAAGCTCATCTTTTCACAAACATGAGCAAGCAGAGACTTAACAAGGTGAATCATTGGCAGAACATCATCCAACACTTGTAAAATCTCTTCATCTACCTGGAAAATAAAATTCCTTTGCACTCAGGTTTGTATAGGATACCTTACAAATAAATATATATTGAATCATAGGACTGATCATTGTCTTGTGTTTTGTGAATGTTTCTGGAAACTTTTATTAGATGTGAGATTAGCTTTAACTTAGACTACATTTTTTCTCCTATTACATGAAGAAAAAGACTTTACAACTCCAATGACATCTGGTGGAGTTTGCAGGCTTAGTTTAAAAGAAAATGAACTTTCCTTGCCAATATTCTCCACACTGCTCTGTCAAAAAGAGCATTCTCTGGAGAAATAACAGTTGAGAGAGGAATTCCACAAATTTGTAAGTATACACTGTGTGTCACTTCAGCCCACAAAGAACCGAAAATCTAGAGAAATATATTGAAGTGATCTTACAGAGTAGGATGACTAGAAACTGAGCTGTGCTTTGTCTCATGCTTGAATTTTTCCCACTGGGCCTCTGACAATGGTATTTGTAAAAGGAATGCACAGTTTAGCCTTTTCTTTTAGAAAAGGTGAGGAATACCTTCTGTGTTGCTCGAATACTATTGCTTAGAACTCTTCTTTTATGCGGGGAAACATGACTGAACAACCAGGTGTTTCTTTATCCGCCTCTTCCAGTTTTCTTCTTAAAGGAACAATTTGCTTTTCCTCATGTAAAAACTCCTTTCAAATAAATAAACTGACATTTTCAACATGACAGTAAGCGTCCTCTCCTTCCTACTTTCCCTAAATTTCTTAAGTATTAATTATTTCATATGATTTTATTTTGTTTCTACGTATTTTTACTTCTTGGTCAAATTTAAACAAGAGCACTTTCTGAAAAGCTCAATTCAACACTACATATTGCACACTTTTGCATGAACATATTCATGCTCTAACTGGACTGTTTCTTGAATAAAATAAAGAAACAAGAACTTGGTGTAATTAAAAAAACCTAAAAATTTATATTTAGTAATTGTTCGTTTAGCAAAAGCAGCACTGTTTAAAAGGAAAACTGAAGCATGAGCTTTACATGAAGTAGCAGCTTATTAATTTGTTTAGTAGTTTCTGAAGCAAGTGACAAAATATTTAGCAAGCCTACAATTGAACTACAATTTGTTTTTTAAAAATTAAAATATTCATAACTCATATTTAAATTACCTCATTACTTAAAATATATTATTCCATCTTTTTTTTGATTTACCACTAAGTATATGTTTTTGTACAACTCTGCCATCAGAATCATCTCAAAGGAAGCAGAGCACATAAATATTTTTTAAATCTACTTTTAAGTATAAAATCGGCTACTTGATACATACTCAAAATTAACAGCATACATAAGCATTTAACTCCAAAAACCTCAGAAGAACTCGCATGCGATTACTCATAAATAAATGGCATTGGATCTCCTATTTAATGGGGTACACACAGCATATTCAATAATAAGCCATTAAAAGCTCCATATTAAAACTATAAAAATACATTAAGTTGGGTATGTAATAGCACAGTATCAACCTTATCTTGACCATATTTAAGACAGGAGAAGACAACTTACGGGTAGGATTCTGAAAGCTCCTGAGCTATTTTATAAGCTGTGGGATCCCTGTCTAGTGCATATATTGTAATGTCCTTGGCTTTCTCCAGCAGAGCTGCAGTATGACCTCCGGCTCCAAACGTCATATCAAGGAAACACTGCTGAGTAAGAAAGACACCACCATTACCTCAGAACAGAAAAGTGATAAACCAATTGATGATTTAAAGCTTCTTTTGCTAATCTCATATGCTGGAGGAAAACATGCCATTAAATATAGTCGTAACGCCTTTTTGGAAATATTTTGTGCAGAATTGCAATCAGGTCATAGCAATCTTTATGGAGCTTGTGACTCCCCCGCCAATCCTTCCAGAACAAAAGGACAATCATTTGGTACAACCAAATGCAGCTTCATACACTTCCCATTTCTTTACATTCTGAGTTTAGAAGAAAGCCACTTGTTTGACTGCTTTGTTTGGACTCGCTCAATTTGAGGCATACAAAGATATATATAGGACATGGGCCTATAGGAAGTAATCAGCACCATCTGCTTTGTAAGAATGTAACTAAAATGAATGCATCTAATGATGGATTTGTGTATTGATTTAAAAAGATTACACGATCATATTTTTATATCGCAGATCAATGTGTGATGGCAGCACAGGCACATATATCCTTACTAGGACTACCCTAACTAGCACAGAAATTCAAGTTTTCAAAACAATACCATCAACATGGGGTTCACTGTGCAAGGATGAAGCTATTTATTTAGGTTACTAAGATACACTGAAGCCCAATCCTGCTGTATCTTCTCTACAATCATTACATACGTTAATTAGATGCAGAATAGCACAAAAATAACAACAATCCCATTTCAACTGCTGATGTGACATACTCTATGGGCTTAAGTTACACCTTTTGATAAACAATGTGCATTTCCTTGCTTTTGAGGAATATTTACTGTCCATGAACATACACCATGTCCATTTTTTGGATACACAAACTGAGACTGGAACATTTTTAGTAATACCAGGCAGATATAGCCATCCTCTCCAGTCTTCTGAACTAAAACTGAAGACACATTCAAGGAACTTTGACCGCACTCTGACTAAAGCATACATAGGTACAGATTCAGCACAAGTTGAGTAAAATTGGGAATCTAAATTCCTCTAATAAGTCTCTCTGAACTCAAAGTTCCTGAAAATAAATGGAAACTCCACATTCCTGCCACCAAAAACTTCACAAAAAAACCCCGAAAAGTACTTTCTCTCATATTTGAAAAGGGTGATGGGATCATCAAATTTCACATGGATATAAGGTGACTTCAAAGGGCTGGTTAACTCCCAAGCACACCACAGAGGAGACCATCTGGAGCAAATGGTTTCCTGGCAAAGAGGGAGGACTGAGCAACTGGTGTGGAGCAGGTCCCAACATGAGAAAGGAAGGAAGAAGCAGAAGGGCAGCTGAGATAGGACTCTTGAAAGGTGAACACCACTCTCCTGATGGCGCTGCAGTTTGTCAGCTCATTCTAGAGAGGTTTCTGTAGTTGGAGTCCATTTGACCAATAGGCTTAGCTCCTGAGACCTTCCTAAGAAACAGTGACTTCAGACACAGTCAACCACCTTGAACAAAGGCAGGTTGGGCTATACGATTCCACTAACAGGAGAAACACAAGAGAATTAGCTAGAACTTAATGCTGGTTTAAGTCTTTTTTATTTGTAAAACAGCAGTACTGTTTCTAGAAGATGCCCTGTGCACCTTCCTCCTTTGGCCTGACAATACTGGCACTTAATTGCTTAAACATCAAGAACTACTTTGTTGACAGGAATAACTGGCTTTTCACTTTGTAATGCGGAGGTTGTATGACTGCAATTCCACTTTGGAAATATTTCCTTTTCAAATTACTAAGCAAGTATAATTCTATACTCAAGGGAAAACATCCTGGCATTTAGAAAGAGGCAGATTTTTTATTGTTTCATGACAGTGTATTTTAACCAAAGTAGAAATGCGACTGAACAACATCTTCTCTCGTTTCTGCATCTCTGAATTCCCGTAACTCTTTTCTCTCAGTTGATTTAACTGACCTCTGCTGATTGGGAAGAAATCAGGCTCCATACAGGCTAAACTAAACTAGAAGAGCAGATTCTCGATATCTTTCAACATTAATAACTTGGTTTGTTTGGGGGTTTTTTTTCCAATTCTCAAATTATTTTTCGATATGAAACAGTTTTTGAAGACCTCTTATCAAGTGCAATCATATTCAATAAATTTCATGTGAACTAAACCTATTTACAAAAATTATACACTGCAAAGCCAAGTACCTTTTAAGGAAACTTACCCCTTGAAAGAATTAAGAATCAACCACAAAGTCCCTTGGGATAAAAATGGAAATTCAAAAGCAGTGAAGAACAGATTGAAGAAAAACCCAAACATTCTTCCAGATACAGTTTTTCTAAAACATAAATAAAGGCTTTTTAATGGAAATCCCATAATAATAAAATTGAGTATTTATGAAACTAATAATCCAACTCTACTGTGGCTAAAAGTGAAAATTATGATTCTTTATGATCTTTAGCTTGGCATGATTTAATCTTTGTGTTATACCATCATTCTTCCTAAGCCTATACTCTAGAAGCAGGACTTTCCTATATTACACAAAGTTCATGGACAAAACCAAAATTTAGTTGGCTCATCTTCCAGTATCAAATTGCACCATTCATATGAAAAAAATAGTAAACTGACACCGAGTAGTATTTTTTTTTGTAAGGAGCACATAAAAGAGAAACTTATGTTACAGAATATATATCCATACTACATAAATGCTCCCATGATGTAGTTAAGCATTCTGATTTATCTTCTGCCATAACAAAACCAAACGTATATTCACTAAAACCAATTTGATAAGCACAAAACTGGAACAGTCAGAAAAATGTGGGTATTATTTAAAACACAACTAGCCACAAGAATTTAGCTAGGTTTTGAAAACACTTGCATACATTAAAAACTCCAAGATACTGAAAGCATTTATTTTTTCTATAAGCTCTCACATTATCACTGTTGATCAGATTCAGATAACCTCTCTTATGACAGAGGATCCATTTAGTATGATTTTTTTTCAACTGTACTGTTACTATCCTTGTAAAAATCCAATACTGGCTACTGAATGGGATATTAAAGTCACTAGATAAATTTATGTTACCTCTCAAATTAAAATGACGATAAAAGTATTTGTTAACTCTACACTTAGCTTAGGGAATTGCAAACATTAACATGAATTCTAGAAAATACCAAAAATCCTCTGAAATTACTCTTTCAATTTCTAAGAGATATCTGATATTCTTTTGATTTCCACTCAAGTGATTTCCATTCAATCCTTACCAGAAGTAATGTACATAAGCAATAAACAGATCTTTCATCTTCTGTTTCTGTAGAAAATCCCTTTAGAAAATGTGAAGGAACAAGAGCAAATGAAAACCACCTCTATTTCCTGCATAGGATTAACCACCCACTCAGGAATGCACTCAAACTTGGTCACAACAGTGTCAAGATTCATTTAGGATTGCACTCATTCTGCAGCAACTCAAAACAACCAAAATCAATTAGATCATAATTCCTCTTAGAAAAAATAAGTTTAATCAATGTGAGTAACATCATCTGGGTTGCATTTAGTTGATTTGTTTATACAAGATAAAAGAAACACTCTTATTTGATAACATAGCTAGAAATCTAGCACTAAAATTTTTGAAAACCTCAACATTGCCTTTCCTGAAACAGACCTACAACATTGGCAGGAAGAGTCAAGGAAGGCATAGGAAGTGCTAGAAGTAGCTACTTCAAAAAAAATTTAGAAAAATAATTTTATTCCACTCAAACTCACTAGTAATGTGAAGCTCCAGAAAATAGTCTTTTTTTCACCAATAGGTTTAGCGAATCACTTGTTTCTTGTACACCTATTCTTTTTCTAAACATCTAGTTGTTCTTTGGTGATCTCTACAATTTATGACACAGATTCGCTCCTTTCTGCCTTTCTCTCACCAACACTTCCATACTTTGGAGAAGGTCCTTTTTTTCATCAAGTTTGAATAGCAGAACATTAGGGACCTTTTTGGTCAAACATATATCCAGGCAATTTTGCTATTTAAGCAATATTTAATACTGCTTGGGGTTTTTTCACCAAATTAATTTTTGAAGATCTTGTGGCTAATTCAAGAATTTCTATATTTGTTATTTTGTTTAAGTCTCACCTTTCCTCACACACATCTGCCTATCACTATTTTTAATTCTGATAAACTTTAAGCCTGATAAACCTCTCATACATTCTGAATATTAATGAACCATATAGAAGATCTTATAAATAAACCGAAAGTTAATACTAGCAGTGCAAAGGAGAGAAAAAGTATCATTGTACCCTGACATAGTGACAAGCTCTCAATATTCTGACAGTACCTAACAGCTTTAGTCAAGAATTCATGCAAGCATTCGCTGTGAGTAAAGGCATGCTCAAATTATATTGCCTTTTCTAAAAAAAAAAAAAAAAAAAAAAAACCAAAAAAACCCCACCAAACCAAACCAAACATAAGCCAACCAAACCTTTAAGCAACAGCAGACAACACTAACATGATCTTTAAACTAGGAGCACTACATAAAAGAGGATACAGCTCTGATTCAAGCAGAAGTGACTGCACGACTGAATACACAGTGCTGGATAAAATACCACATCACCAGCATTAATGGAACAGGCTAAAGCATTTTTGGCATCCTAGCAAACCTAAATAAGGCTACAGTACAGTTTGGCATAACTTTTTAAGGTAAATAAAACCCTTCCATGCATACTCTTTGAACTGCACAGGTACATATGCATAAACTAATAAGGAAGAACTCATACAGATGCCTCAATCCAAATGTTCCACTCAAAAGCAACATTTTGCATCTAGAACCTAAAAAAAATATATCACCATAAGCTATCAAATAAAATAATTTTTTTTACAAACACAACAATTTTGGAGCATTGATCAGATTTGAAATGAATCAACTATACTATACTGCCTTTTAATATGCTTTTTATATATATTCCATTCATCTTTCATGCCTGAAGTAAGAGAAAGATACTTCATTTTTTCTTCCTCTTTCTCTCTTGCTAGTAGTTTTTAATCAAATAAAA